AACAAACTCTCAAAGATCGGTTGTGCTATATCGTGTAAATGGAAAATGAAAAACGGTCTGATCAGCTGCCCGGTGGCGTAGTGGGTAGCACGCTTGCGTTCTGCCCATGAAGTCCCGGGTTCGATCCCCAGTCGGGTCGATGGATTCGCACTGCTGATGAGACCCAACCAGGTCGAAACAGCTGTCCAGTGCTTCCGAGCTTTTCAGTTCACGCTTCATTTGCCATATACACGACGAATTGTCATTTGAAACATAACCAAATCCTCCATTACCCACATGAAAGAATTCACATCTATTTAACACATGGCACTGGTGCGACTGTGAAACCCCGAGGGAAAAATTCTTCTCATCCATCTCGTTAATTGGAAAATGAAAACCGTCTGATCAGCTGCCCCATGGCCGAGTGGATAGCATGCTTGCGTCCTGCCTGTGAGGTCACGGGTTCGATCCCCAGTTGGGTCGATGGAATCGCACTGATGATTAAACCCAACCGGGTCGGAACAGCTGTCCATTGCTTCCTATATTCTGAGTTCAAGCTTGAATTTCGGGTTCACCTAAATATAGAATGGTCTAAAACAGTATTTGTTAATTTTAACCAAATTGATTGGTTAAACTACCTACGTGTCAGTAATGTCAATGACGCATCCGATGCTTTCTCTCAGTTGTTCATACGTGAGTTAATTATCCAGCTTGAAATTTGTCCAAAAACGAACGTTCAATGACCGAAAAATATCACAGTATGGGAACTTGGATGGTTCATAGGAAAATTATTGAAGGAAGAACTGTCTGTTTGACTCACCGGACCTGAAGTGCTAACAATCGTGGAAAAGAAAAAAACGTTTATTGAATTCCACACTGTGATAAAGTGAAAATAAAACGATTATATTTTTAAGCTTCAGATTTTTCTTTTTGATAAATACAAAAGATCTTTGTGGACTCATGAAAGACTTGCACCTACTCTCATGGATGTTTTGACAGTAAGGACTGAAAAAAATTGTTCCCACAGCAAGCAAAAAAACGTGGATTGTAAAATAAGGAATCAAGTTGACAGGCCCATCTGCGGAAATACCCGTGAAAAATATAATAACAACGGAGTGATATACATACTACATATTGAGAGAGAATTAATTACTCACCAAATTACACAAATACAACCTATATGTTTGTTGACTACCGTAAATTACCAAACTAGAACTTTTTAATATTTTCTATTTGTAAGTAATTGCTTTTATACATGGGTGAAATGGTATCATCTTCTAACCATTGAAATATTCTCACAGATGCAATTCTTGTTGAATCCCACTATCATCGAAACACTGGTGATAGTCTGAATTCGCAATCCCCAGCTGGGGACTGAAATGACACTGCACCGAAAAAAACGTCTTTTGTAAATAGGTACGGGGTCTGTGAATTATTGTAATCTAAATCATCGATCTGGACTCTTGTTTACACATCGAAAACGTAATGAATGACAAACTTGATGTATGAAGTACAACTGATTCTCTTTATTTCACCGTGAACGGTAATCAGTCAGAAAAAATAGTCACTAGTTGATCCTTGAAATTCGTTTTTCATTGTTGTTGTTTTTACCGTACTAGAATAAATCTCGTATAATCCGGTGCGGATTGGATAAAATAAAATGAAATTCATGTCGAAGTCCGTCCGTTCCGTAAACCAAAGAAAACCTCGCAGGAAGGTTCCGGTTCTGTCAGTAGAAGTGATCTCTGGATGTATGTTGTGTTTGCACGACGGCATACTCTAGTAACAGTTAAGTTATAATCAAACTGTAGAGCGAAACGAAACATAACTATGGGGTTGTTTCGTTTAAAAGACGTGTAGAATTATCGGATGGTGTGAATATCATTTTCGTCGATGATAAGGCTTTTCTAAACCAGAAAATAGTTTCAGCAAACAGAAGAAAACAATAATTTGCAACGTGGTGCTTGCCATTCAGGTATTTTCGCGGATAATGATGAAATGTCGACCGATCACTTCCAAGATTCGAGCAAGAAATACTATTCGGTAATCTATTTTCAGTTCAGTTTATCAGTATTGCCCTTGCATCCACGAGGAATTCGGCGTCCGGTGTAAGTTGTACGTTCTTGCAGCTGGGAACAAGCCAACCAAACTTAATAAATCAAATCCTTTAGTCGACATAAACATAGATACTTCTCAATGAACTGTAATTCGGTGGCTACCATTTTGAGCAAACCCTGAGAATTGTTACCGGTAACTAAGTTTTATGGTTCACTGAAGCTATTTCTGCGTCTATTGAGAATCACAGATGAATTATCTCTTCTGTAAACCGTAG